TGGTTATCGCTATAGCTTACGATTTCATTTTGTTATTTTCAAAGATTTTCAAATTCCCCGCGCTCTTTTGTAACAACAATATTAAAAAGAAGATGAGCGTAAGGTATTTGAAAACCTTCGGAGGTTAGAGATAACAAAATGAAAACGTAAAAGATAGCAATGGCTATAGCAATAGGCTTTTTGACAGTATGAAAAATAATGTACCAATTGTTGGCATCTGTATTTAATATTAATACTAGCTGCGATATTACTATTGCAAAAGAACAAATAATTAAAACATTTTCTAAAAACTCATTAAATAGAAATGATTTTTTTGCTTCATGGTCACATGACCAAAAACGCCTGTGATTGGCCAAGACCAAAATGACGTCACACGCTGGTATACTTCCGGTCAAAGTGACATTACATTGTATCGTTTGACGTTTTAATGACATTTGCATGACGCCACACACTAGTAAGACGCCATAATGTCCAGAGATACGTTTTCGCGGAAACTGAAAATTTAATTTAGTTTTTTTTTTACAGAATTACACAACAGAATTAAAAATATCCACTTTTTATGGACTCCATAAACATTAGTAAATATCGTGGGATCGTTTTCTAAAACTTGTCAAATACCCTATTACGTTAGGTGATTTTATAGGTCCCAATACCAACCAGGCAAATGTATGAAAATATAAATACTGGGCTATGAGACGCTTGATCTTTTTAGCCTTCCTCTTTTTATGTCAAAATGGTGGCAAACAAGCATATGGCCCGCCTGATGGTAAGCGGCCACCATAGACTATAGACGCTTGCGATACAGAAAATATCACTCCCGCCGTTGCTTACTCTGACCAAAACCTCTTACCCCGTGGAGCCCTGGAACTTTACTCACAGACAGAAACACAACAAAAACGTGTTATTTTACTGTGGTCTTTTGTAAGGTGAAGGTTACTTCCCCAGACCGGCGTTCCAATTCTAACTCTCTTGCCACCTCACTAGGGGTGTTAAGTTGTTATGTACAATAATACAAATAAAAAAAATAAATATACACAAAGCAAGATTTAAAGTCACGCTTTTGTTGAACTCAATAAAGGTTGGCGTACGCTAAATCAAGGCTGTTTCCATGGCCAACGAAAGGAATTGTAAATATAAGCTAAAAATAACCAAAGTTATTCATTTATAAAAGAAGCGGTTGGTATTCGGTAAAGAAGTTTTTTAATTGGATTGCTCTTTAATGAAATGTTTAATTGATGATGATTTCGACGTCTCTTTCAAATTCATCCTTGTTGATTATTAATATGGAATTTAAATTTGGCTCATTAATAAATATATTTAATTAATAACGCACTTGTGCATTTATTTTTGTGCTATAGCAACGTCACATTATTGAAGTTCGCCCTACACTGTCTTGTGATGTCTACTGTCCACTATTCCCTGTCCGAATCCAATAGCTGACTATTAAAAAAGGTAGAAAAATGGATTTTTCTACGAATGTCTATATTTGGATTGATGTTGAATGTCTTTTTTTCAAAAAAAGATTTTTTTAAATCATTTCATCATCATTACATTATTTCTGCTAAAACAAAAAATCTATACTTATTATTATAAAGCTGAAGAGTTTGTTTGTTTCATTGTTTGTTTGGTTGAACGCGCATATCTTATGGTCCGATATGAAAAAAACTTTTTTGTGTTGGATAATGCAATGATCGAGGAAGGCTATAGGCTATTTAAGACAACGATACGACCAATAGGAACGGAGCACCAATGAAAAATGTTGCAATAACATAAAATATCAATTATGTGATTTCTTTAAGTCTATGTCTTGGATTAAATTAGTAGCTGTTAACAACGAAGTTGCGTATTATTACATTTGAAATTTTCAAGTAATTAACTGCTGTTGATATTTTTGATATAAGATGTTTAAATATATATATAGTCTGGAACCGAGCAGTTTTTTTCTAGTTGAAGTTTCTTTAGAACTAAGTTGTGTTTTAATATTTTATGAGCAAAGAAAGCTTTCCCCTATAAAATATTTTTTTTTGTGCTTTGATATTTTCATGGTATAGTTATCGAATTTTATTCAAATGCGTACAGCCGTTAGTTTATGATTGAGTAAACAATCATTCAAATCGTTAGTGGGATGTCCTACAAACTAGTATTGTGTGGTCACAGTACACCTAGAGTCGGGATCGAGGATACAAGCAGATATATCCGGTAAAGGAATTGCGAGAAACTATTATAGGAGATTTTTATATACAGGCTGTTTTATTTTGTTCAAAATTCTCCTTTAATTTTGTGTCAGTGCATTTGGAAAAATAAATGTATTTTTTTATATAATTGAATAGTAGTTTAATTTTTAACACACTTACTGCTTTAATTATGTAATAAAATCGAACCGCAGAAGTTAGTACGTAAAGTGTTTATTTTATATTATCTTGAAATTGTACACTCAAAATCAATTGATTCAATTTTATACTTAATATCTAAATTATTCGAATAAAATTAAATTACTTACCTATTTCAATAATTCAGTATGCATATAACACCTTAATACAAGTACCTTTTAGGAATGGCAAATGTAACACAGTAGTAAATAAATAATAAGTAAAGACTTGACGAATGGGCAAGTAATATAAACATATATACATATTCTGGTCGACATAACAGACACCTAATTTTTTCTAATTTTCATACGGCACTTATAAAATACAATCACTAGCTAACTAATAACTATACTAAGACTACTCGAGACAATAAAAAACATGTTTGATCATATTTTTACAAAAGAAAAACTAATAGAATGTATGTTATAATGCCGACTGAAAACAGTCCTACCTAAAAGTAAGTATAGACACCCTGTATATCATAAAACTATCAATAGATTACAAAAAATACTGATCATATTACAATATCACAAATTCATCAAACATATAAATACATTTTAATAATAATAATAAAAAAAGATATGTTTAATATGAGAAGACTAAACAATTATGCTGTAATCTTATTTAGAAGCCTCAATTAAAATAATTGATTTATGTATTTTTAAAGAGAAAACAAAGTATCTAAAAACTAAACCTACTTATAAGGAACTGAAAGCATTTTCGACGTTATTGCACCTTTGTTTAATTTTAAACTAATTCATCAAATAGATTTGAACTTTAACGTGATAGCACTATAGTTGGAATTCTATATATGTGTTTGTACTCTAATATCTTGTCCTCTAAATTGATAAATAAAGGAAAGATCTTACTTTTACGAGCGTCGGTCGTAGAACTGTCTTAGTACATTACCGTATTACCAAGATGTTCAAACAAATGATATCTGTAACAAAAAGAAAATATTCATTATAATTTTATACAAGACTAGCTGACCCAGCGAACTTCGTACCGCCATAAAAAAAAATTATTAAAAAGACATTGTCCAGCGGACAAAATTGTGAATCTAAACCATTCTCAGATCCCCTTGAACACACACAAAAAATTTCATCAAAATCGGTCCAGTCGTTTAAGAGAAGTTCAGTGACATACACACTCACAGAAGAATTATATATATAAAGATGGTGCGAATAAGAGAGGTTTCACGGATAAAGGTGTAAGTTCAATGTAGATTGAGCACATAAGACAATAGCAATACGCGCTTGCGCAGAATTGCAAGCGTCTATGGGCTATGTCACGCGCATCTGAACGAATTCTTCTTAAATAAGATAGATAGGCAACTTGTGAAAATAATGCTTATTCCTATAGTGATACTGGCGCTTTTCCAACTTATTTCACAATAACGCTCTTGCGGCGAAGGATGCAAGTTACACTACCGCACAAAAATTGTGAAAATTACCCTTACACTAACAACAAATAAAGTCTCATTTCCCCACTCACCTCACCTTGGCGCTGCTATCACTGCTGTATCTAAATAAAATAACCTATTTCATTTAGATACAGCAGTTAATTTTGGTTTCCCCACTCACCACACTCCAATACTCCCTCGGCAAAGATCGCAAGTACTGCTCCTACCATAGACACTACAAAGAAATTAGTTTTCCCAGCGAAGACGGCAAGTGCTGCCACCACAACAACTTACAAAAATAACCTTTATATCTATTAAAAATACGGTCGTATTTCCCACTCACCTCATCCCAACGCTCTCGGGACAATGTACGCGGACACAGCCGACGTCACCCTTCCCGCTCCGAAATGCGCGTTTTAACAGCCTCCGCATCAAAAAATGATCCTTATATCCTGTATAATATTGTGACTTTCCCACTTATCTCACTCTCACGCTGCTGCCAATATCACAACCTACGAATATAACCCTTATATTTACATTAAATTAAGTCGTTTTTCCCACTCACCTTACCCTAACGCTCCTGCGGCGACGGACGCAAACACCAGTACAGGCGTCGCCCACCTCCCGCTCCGACCTGCGCGTTGTACACCGCCTTGGAGTCGGAAGCGATGCCAAAAGTTACGGAAAACACCCAAATACCTAGTATAATAAAGAAGCTTTTCCCAAGTCACCTAGACCTTATTGTTCGGCGGCCAAGGAAGCGAATGATGCCATCAGAAAATCACCCTTACGCCTATTATATTAAAGAGGCTTTTCCACTTACGTCATCCTAATTCTCACGCCGCGAAGATCCAAAGTGCTGCTACCACCCTAGTCACTACAAATAAAGTAGTATTTCCAACTCATCTCACCTTCCCGCAAGTGCTGCCACCACAACAACTTACAAAAATAACCTTTATATCTATTAGAAATAAGGTTGCATTTCCCACTCACCTCACCCTAACGCTCCCGCGGCGATGGACGCAAACAACACCAGTACAGCCGTCGCCACCCGCCCGCTCCGACCTGTGCGTTGTAAACAGCCTCGGAGTCCAAAAATGACCCTTATATCCTGTATAATACTGTCACTTTCCCACTTACCTCACTCTCACGCTGCTGCCAATATCACAACCTACGAAAATAACCCCTATATCTACATTAAATTAAGTCGTTTTTCCCACTCACCTCACCCTAACGCTCCCGCGGCGATGGACGCAAACACCACCAGTACAGCCGTGGCCACCCCTCCCGCTCCGACTTGCGCGTTGTAAACAGCCTCGGAGTCGGGCACGGCGCCGAAAGTGTCAGCTGCCGACATGGTTTCTGTGAAGAGCGCACTGGTCACCGCGTGTCCAGCGGGCTCGACTAATGTTATGGGCCTTGTAACGGAAACTAGATTCGCTATTTTTGAGGGTAGTTGGCTTTCTTTTTTAAAAACTGTTTGATTGTTTAAAAAATGAATTATCAAAATTAGACTGCTCCTTAAAAAGTTATGTGCGGTCGTATATTACAATCAGTGAGTGTACAATCAATCATTCCCTTAGGGTTCGAATTTTTTTTTTGAAATTTATATGGGAATAACCAACTTCGGTGTATACCTTTCCAAAAAAAAAGAAATTTTAAAATCGAATACTCCTTCGCGTTTTTGTTGGTTAAAGAGGAAATTTGTCATCGATATGTAAAGTTTAGTAACAACTAATAAGAAATTTTTGACGCTATTCCTAGAGCGGAGAGAGCATCCTGTTTAGATGTTTCTGTAATTGGTTCAAATTGAAAATCTATGAAATATCTTATATCATAAGAGGTAAAGTTTTGTAACAAATATTAAAGATATATTGTTTTAAACCTTCATGGTTCTTTATGAGTCTCCGATATTTCGGCACTGTTGCAAGCGCCATGATCACGGAGTAACTGAGTCACGGAGCAACAGTGCCGAAATATCGGAGACACATAAAAAACAAGGTACATGGTAACAATCCCGTTAATAGCTATAACTATTCAAGAGTTATAAACTTTATTGTTGGCTTTAAATTTTTAAGATTCTCTAACTGGTTTAAAGAGAAAATCCATCTTATTCTTCATCATCAACTTAGTCTTAATGATAAATAGGAAAAGTTTTGTAACAATAAATAAAGAGTTTTTACTCTGTTTTAAGTCTTTCTATTTAAACGGTTTTCTAATCTTATTTGATTCTCTGAATCATTATTATAATAGGCAATCTAACTGCTTAGTGTTTTTTTTATTTAGTGTTAAGGGGTAAAGTTTGTGATCAAGCTAACTATTTAAAAAAAATCTCAAATCAATCCAGAGGCAATTTTATAATTACACATTTTGTAAATAGGTTCAGTTTCTAAGTTTGTTCGTAGAAACTTACATCTGGAACGAATGTACCGATTTTGATTTTTTACTAGTAGAAAGCTAAATAATTCCTGAGTAAACTAACTTAAGATATAATTATGATGTATCAACGATAAATTGTGATAGAAAATTTTCTAGGCTGGATTAACTTCTTGACACAATTGTAATAACTACAAGTGCATAAATTAATTATGGCATTTGTAAACTAGAAAAGTTATATTTACTGCAATTGCTTACAATTTAAAGTCTAGACTCTAGACAAAAACATTGAAAACAAATGGAATACGTTATGTAAGCAGTACCTTTAGCTACACACATAAGTCCCAATAAATTTATTTTTAAAATAGAACAGTAACCTGAATATGCCTGCGTGCAATATGCATAATTAAAACATAAAAACATAATTATAACGAATAAAATAATACTGTATCGAACTACCTTATACCATTAACTACAAAGCCCATTGAATTAGTCTATGATAGCCCTTGGAGCATGCAGTGAACTAAAAAATAAAATACAGATAATGTACTAATTTTGTTCATTGAACAGATTTTATAATTACATTTCAGTGATGACTGTTCTTTTTATGATTAATTAATTTCGTATGAAGTCATTATCAAATAATATCTTAATAAAATATGATATAATTAAAATAACGCCCAAAAAGCTTAAGAAAATTAGTAATTTACTTATTAATACATAATATAATTATAAAATAACAATATTGTTGTTGTAATAAAATTGCTACCCACCAAAATGAATCTTCCAATATAAGGGACACATGCAAATAACGAAAATGATTAAAATAAACAGAAATTAATAAAGCATAAACTATAAAACAATTTGAAAAAAGCATAAAAATGAGAATAATTGTAATGTTAATCTTATAAAATGATCCATCGATTTGTGATAATAATAATGATACTTGATTTTTTTTTCTAGTAAACATTTCTTTAAATTTAAACATCTAGCAGTTAAATAAAAAAAAACATACTTGTTTATGTAAAAATATTGTATATGGTATAAATATTATCCAATTTTTTGACTTCATAGCAATATTTTGCACTATGGCGGGTGTAACAAATGTTAAACTACAAAAGTATAGGTTTGTAAACACCATCAAATTAAAAAATTCGTATCATCACTTATATATCTTAAAGGAAGTACCATTTATTGATAAAATATCAACCTTATTACCTTACGAATAAGTTCTCATTAAGGGAGCACAATTTGGCCAAAAATTAAAAAGAGTTTTGTTTTCACGATTAAATATACATATTTCATCTTTACTAATTTTATGATCACTTATTATTAGTTAGTTATAAGCAAACATAAAATGAACTTTTACTTCAAACCATATTTATTTTTAAATTATTGTCAAACAGCAAATATTCTTATGAACTGTAACATATTCGATCGATTGTTATAGATTCTAGCATGATCTTTTACATCTAAAATTAAATTTGACAACAGTGCATCCTTTTCATTCTACAGACAAAATGAAAAGGAAAGACTGGCGTTAAATTTAGTTTCAAGTTTACAGAATCATGCCAGAATCGACATCTATAACGGCTTATATTACTCAAAACTTCAAATTAAATTCTCAATTAGGTTACGTGGTCTCATTTCTATTGTTATCAAATAAAGTGACAGCATGAACTCTAGTCAACATTAAAGGTAATGTACTTCCCTGAATGTGGGAATTAATATCTAACTATCATCATAATAATTTATTATCATGCATAAGTTGTAAGAAAATAATATAAAAATATAAAAGAAATAACTAATTTATTTACTGCGTACCCTTAAGAGACATAATGTTATTTCTAGTAAGAAATACTGAGTAGTGCAGTAGCTCTACTCGGAATTAAAAGAAAAGAAAGAAAATTGTTTTTATTGTTGACAGTACATAGCATACACATAAAATGCAAAAATAAATATAACATAAAGTAAAACAAAACGAACAAGTAAAATTAACAACAACAAAAAACAGCTACAGAGAATAAATGTGTATTTTATATGATGCCAACACTGGATATGGCTCAGCATACACAGCTGGTAAAATTCCTGCTGCACTGGTATTCTGCCATATCCAGAGAAAACACAAATATATAGCATTATAATATCAAAAAGTCGCTCAAGTTTTGAAGATAATAGATACTATGTCGCAATGTTAACAGACATACCAGGAATATAATGAATGAATGACATACCCGGTTCTTCAACTGTTCGCCGTGAATGAGTGAATGGACAAAAAAATAAATGATTAGAGCGGAGAAAAAGCATCGCATTGTAGGATATTTAATGCCCAATAAAAGTCACATTATTTAAAATAGAAGCGTAAGACTGTATATTTTAGTTTCAGTTCACAATCCATTGACAGTTTCACTAGATATAATATAAATTAACGGTTGATTGTAGAAACAGTTACTTTGTGTTCTATTTACGCAGATTTTTTATCTCGTTGACCTTATTCTCTTTATCATAAGTACCATTAGATATACAAATTATTAAAAAACAAAATTAAAAAAGATGCTTAAAAATCACTCATTAGATTAAATTTTGCGTATTACTTTAAAGACTATTTTATGAACGCAAAGCGTGTGGTCATTACAATGGATTATGAACCATAATGTAATGTTAATATACTTGCGTATTAATTTAATAAGGTCTATTTAGTTAATGCAATGTATTATGAGCCTTATAAAAATCTGTTAAAATCTTTGATCATTTATACGCCCACATAGAGCAATGCAAACAAACCACGCAAAGAAAACGGCTCATATTAACGTATGAAAGTGCAGCGACGAGCATATCTACCATATGTAGTAGATATTTTTTGTGCTGCTTTCGTGAAGTTAATACGGAATCTAGGGTGTATTTAATCAAAGGTTAAAAATGCATTCAATCGATGAATTATTATCATTACATGCTTACGTATTACCTCAAAGCCTATTTTATGAACGCAAAGCGTGATCATTGCAATGGAATATGACCCTTACGGCTAGTTTTATTAATCAAACTCCAGTCACATATAAGCTCGTCGTAGTTCGTATAGAACCTATTAGAGATTTCTGTCCTAGAAAAGAACAATATCTAGATATTGTTATCATAATGACAACTGTTGCTAAGAAACGGAACCAGATTATCGTTAAGAAAATATAACTAGAAAAAAATCCACGTGGACCTGGCAGCAGACGGGTCTTCGACTTCGACTAGGAGAATTTCGACGCGGCCGTTCGGGCCGCGGTAGCATAATTGGCTACCGCGCATGATTGGTCAGTGCATTCGCCCGGACTGCGTTGGGTTCGAGTCCCGTCTGCTGCCTGGTCCGCGTGGAATTTTTTCTAGTTATATTTTTTTTAGATTTAAACATCAAGCAGTTACATGCTTAAAAAAATAAAATTATAACAGATTATCGTTACCTTTTACTGGAGGTTGATTATTGAAACTGACCGTTATTATGATAGTGATAAGGTTCATATTCTTACCTCCATATCTATCTAGTAGTGCCATAATAACTCCGTTGGTCCATCCGAAACCGGTCTGTAAGACGTATTCACCGCCACCTCCGTATCCGCCGAAGATTGTCGCGTCGTACTAAGGGAAGAAAAAGGATTTTATAGAAATAAAAGAGTTTACAATTTGATTGGATATATAAAAAATATTACAATTAGTTTGTGAATGTTTTCTTCAAGAGAGATATGGGCTGGCTGTATTGAATTTACTTTATTTTTAATATTAGTTGTTATATAAATTCGCTTAACCTAAACTTAAATTTGAGAACAGTGTATCCTTGTCATTCTTTATACAGTATGAAAAGGAGAGACTGATGTTAAATTTTGTTTTATGTTTCGAGAATAATGCCAGAATCGACACCTTTATCTACATATCATCATCAGCCTATTAATGTCGCCTTTTTTTGGACAAAATAGCATATAAGTTATGGTATATTAGGTAAAATTTTAACACATACTGTTTGATATAGATATGGTAAATGTGTTGTTTACCCATAATTAATTGTAACATTGATATATGTGTCTCCGTGTCCATAATTATAATTGCTTAAGTGTTACAATTGTTGGTAAGCCTTTTAAATAAATAAATACGGAGGCAAACACTGAATATATACAATGAACGACCATCATCAGTCGGGCCGCGGCCTCCGAGCTACCATCACCCAGCTCGGAGGAAGATCTTCCCCTATGGCCTTCCTACAGCTAGATTATTTTTCATGCTGTCAAATAGCCTTTTAACCTAGAGGAGCTCGATGGCGCAATCTCCCTTTTCCAGCCATAGGGAAAGCCTGTGCCCCAGCAGTGGGGAAATTAAAAGGCTGAAGATGATTAAGAACCAACTTTCTCCAAATCAAACTCACCTTTTCCAACATGGCCGTCTTCTGCTTCCACACTTCAAAATTAGATCGCACCCATTTAGTGGCTATATCGTTGGCGTACTTCATGGCTTCAGGTTGGCCGGTATTGGCCAATCCCGTCACGAATATGTATTGGAGGGGGGGCCAAGCGTTCGGATAGTCCCATTGTTCGCCCGAATGCTCGAAAGTAGTGGGGATTCCGCCGTCGAATACGTCAACCTGTGGACAAATTTATCAATAATCTTTATAATATAAAATTTAGCCAGTGCAAAAATTGGTTTCCTATACAAACTACCATTCTCCCTTTTCAGTCCATTCAAGGATGGTTACTTCGATAAACACTATCCATGACTTTTCCCAGGCTCAAACTATCTGTATACCAAATTTCAGCTAAATCGATACAGCGACTTAAGCTTGCTGTAAATACTACTAGTATGGATGAATCTATATTTCCTTCGACTCGATCCGATGCACTGACCAATTATACCACGACTTTAGCTTTAAATGTCTAGCAGTTAAATACTCAAAAAAAATATATAATAAACTACAATAAGTATCATTACTAGGTCAGCAAATCAACTCAAAATCAACTATATAATTATCTAATAAGCTTTTCAATTAATATACTTTTTAAATCATCGGAATCAGTTCATTCGTTGCGATTTTATAACTAATTTTATGGTAGCCAATATTCACCGGCGGCCGAAGCGTGTGACGTCTTAGTGCTCGATCGTTCACTCCGGTCGAACTTCAGTAGCGTCTCTACTCACGCTCGAGCCCGAGCGCTAGAGCTCTGTGACGTCACAGCCACCACGCGGCCAGCCAAAAATCATAACTTCGTCAATATTTGTAGTAGAACAAAAATTCAACCACTGTATTTTATGGGATTCTTAGCTCTATAAATTGGATTCTAAACTAAAATAATTACGGATCCTCATTGCTATTTCTTCTTTCAAATGTTTAATACTAGTAAAGGTATTTCGTTTGACATATATAAGATACCTATAATGAGAAAAGATGGCACTGCCTTGCTGCCTAAAGAAATACTAGAAGAAATTCGACACGAATATTAAAAATATAATAAAATATGTATATTGTTACAATGGGGTGCTCGATGGTGCAGGTGGCTAGTGCGTTCGGCTGCGATCATTGAAGTTAAGCAACTTTCGCAATGGTCTGTCATTGGATGGGTGACCAAAAATCTATCTCGAGTTCCTCCGTGTTTCGTAAAGCACGTAAAGCCGTTGGTCCCAGCTGCATCTGCAGTCGTTAGCACCCGTCAGTCCGCACTGGGCCCGCGTGGTGGGTCATGACCCAATCTCCCTATTCCATCCACAGGGAAGGCCTGTGCTCCAACAGTGGGGACATTAATAGGCTGATGATGATGACTGTTAATATGTTCCTTATCATCTTACTTTGACTTTATCCAGATAGTTAATCACTCTGTTCACGTAGTATTCTTTGCGTGCTTTGTCATAGCAGCCGGTCCATAGCGGGGCGATATTGGACGGGTAGAAGTAGTCTCTGCGCCGTCCCGACTCCAGGTTGAAATCTAGCCAAGCACCGACGTCTTCATGCCAAAGTAACTGGTGAAGGAATAAAAAAGGTTTCTTTAGGATAGTCATGAGAATTTCTTCAAAATATATAGTCCAATTTGTCAACCTCGTTATCTTAAGCCTTTTTTAGCATGGTGTAGCATCGACGAAAGGAATATTTATTTAGAAATGCCTCAAAAATGACAAAAGTAAAACTAAATTTTATCACCACTGAAGACGTCTAGTGTAGAGATTCTATAAGCATTTACAAAAAACTTTTTAACAAACAAATGAACTTCATAAATACAAAAGCGATTTCATAAAACATAACCACTAAATTTGTAAGAATAATTTCTAACATTTTAGTGGTTTTGTTTTATGAAGTCGGTTTTGTTTTTATGAAGTTTATTTTTTGTTGAAAAGATTTTTGTAAACGCTTATTGAATCTAGTCACTAGACGTTTTTAGTGGTGATAAAAAAAATCATTCTTGACGGCATTATAAATATTAAGGAAGAATAAGTCGGGAATGTTTGTATGGAAAAAAATATTGCCCACCGCCCGCTCTTAACACAAATCGCTGCGTGCAAGCAAAGCTTAGCTCAGAATGAACCGGCAATTTTGGGCAGTTGTCCCATCGCCGACGAGGGAGCGTTAACTGTCGGCTATTTCCCCGCTGAAGAAACGTACAATAGATATACACTCCGTGGTAACAAAAGAGATGCATATAGGTATAAATAGTTGATCTGTTCACACTGCCGGAGAACTCTCTCCACTAGTTTGTCGCTGAGCAGCAAGAAATATTAAAGATAATATACGCTCAGCGATACTGGCTGGACGTTGCTATGTTCTTGATGGGACGTTAATAACTAAGGTCTTATTGATACGGTTAGAAAAGTATTTGTATTTTTGTGAGCAAAAGCAAAAAATTATAGGTTAAAATTAGCTAGCTGGGCAGCAACTTATGGTCAGCAAATATTTCTAAATCAGTCTGCTATTTATGTCATTCTGAAAAGCAGTTTTTTTTAACAGCCGAATTCATATAAAAGCTACAATTCGTGACCCATATCTCATTGAATCTGAAGGTTATGAAATTTGGAGCACAGAATATATCTCGCAAGTCTCAATAATGAGCCAAATTACAATAAAATTTGTAGTATTACGCTCGCCAGTTTCGTCAGTTTGAACTTGGCTTGAGACGCTACCACAAATACAACCATTTTAAAAATGAGGTAAGTAGATAGATATATTTAATTCTTCATATAACATACCTACATATATGTAGGGGAAACTACCCAATCATTGGCACTTTTGAGTTTAGTTCGAAAAAACCAGAAAACAGACCAACATAGATTATAGGAATAATGCTGCAAATTTTCAAATTTCGAAACCATACTAGGCTTTTCTTTTTCATATGTAATGACCTTGAATAATCTATTGTCTCCTTGTTTTTTTCGAATTAAACTCAAAAGTGCCAATAATAGGACGAGTGCCAGTGCAGGGTGGTTTCCCCTACTTTGTGTGAAATAATGGTCTTAGTTTTAACATATTTATAAGAATATTACCATATTAATCTTTTTACAAATAAATATTGTCATTACCTTTTCAATGTTGTGCATATACCGCTCGTGTATCATTCTATAGTTATCAGCCCGATTCCGATCGCCCAGTATGGTGTAAAACTCCGTCATTATCTGAGCGTTCCAGCACATGATCGCGTTCAAGTCCACTGGCACTATGGAACGGGTCTTCAGATTGGTGAGGTTACCTAAAGTGAGAATTACAATCTTATTACTAATGCGTAAAGTAAAAAAAAAATAGATACATAGATAAGTATATTTTTATATAAATTAATATAAAGAGAGTCAATAGGGTATTTGACAAATTTTAGAAAACGATCTCACGTTATTTACTAATGTTTATGGAGTCCATAAAAAGTGGATATTTTTAATTCTGTTGTTATTAAAAAAAATAAACAAAAAAATAATTTAAATTGCCGCGAAATCGTTTCTCTGGACGTCGTCTTAGTAGTAAGTGACGTCACACGACTGTCATTAAACGTCAAATAATACAATGTAATGTCACTTCGGCCGGATATTTACTAGCGTGTGACGTTATTTTAGTCTTAGCCAATCACCAGGCGTTTCAGGTCACGTGACCGAGCAAAAAAATAATTTCTATAAAATGATTTATTAATTATTTGTTCTTTCAGAATAGTAAAATCGCTGCTGATATTAAATACAGATGCCAACAATTGGTACATTATGTTTTAATACTGTCCAATAGCCTTTTGCCCCATGAGGATCCCAACTCAGGACCCTCTAAGTAGGAACCGTTCCAGCACATGATCACTTTCAAATCCACCGACACAATGTTTTTATTTCAAAAGAGTGGGAAACAAGCAAATGGCCCACCTGATGGTAAGCGGCCACCATAGACTATAGACGCTTGCGATACCAAAAATATCACTCGAGCCGATGCCTACCCTGACCCCATTCTCCTACCCCGTGGAGCCCTGGAACCTTACTCACCAACAGAGACACAACACCACCAAAAGGTAGTGTTATTTTACTGTGGTCTTCTGTAAGGTGGACGTTACTTACCTGGACAGGTGCTCCAATACGAGCGGAAAATAAGCTATGCCCTACCTCTCTTCTTTCAATATAGCAATTCAATAAATATACATTAAAAATGCACAAAACAATTTCTTAAACAAAGTTATAAAAGACGAAAGACACTCAATAACCTATATTAAACTTAATACATAAAATTATTAAAAAAAAAAACACTCACAGAAAACGTAAATTCACATTAGATTAGAGATCTAAATTTTCTAAATTTCACAAACGAGACAAAGTTATGGGGTTTTCTACTCTAAGCGAAGGCAGTAAGGTATAATATTAAGTTTGCATCGAACACAAATATAAGTGTCTTATATTTAAAAACTTGCTATGCTATGTCGATTCTGCTAGTTCAACTTAAAATTAATGACTGAATAGTAGTTCAACAGTATTGCTTTAGTCCGTCGTGTGCGTTAACCCGGGTCTCCAGCAAAAGGTTTTCGAAAACATTCAACAAAAACGCATATACAAAACTTTGTATCTGAAACATGTTTCTCTACACACGCCGTCTACTGCTCACGTGACTGTTGTACACAAAATACACTGCTACGTTCAAAAACTACGATCCAGATACATAAAATGACAAATTTGACAAAAGCTTCGTACAGTTTATGTCAAATTTAAACGTCAGAGTGATAAGTTGTACTCGGAGCGTAAGTTTGGAACGGAGCCCCCGCAAGGAGTTGTCAAAAATTTCAGATGAAACAATACCCTGCCCCTAAATCCGCGCGGGGCGGGGGATCGGAAAGCAAAAGCATTGTTGATGCAAACAAATATGTGTAGTGAAACAAAGTTTTGTTATGTAAATGCTTTTGTTGAATGTTGATATGTTTTTGTTGATTGTGTATGTAGAGCAAAGACGCGCTGAAGAGCCGGCTTTAACGATACAGTTATTAGAAATCTGTTTTGCGATACAGTTGTAAGAAAAATATTTTGGCGGACATAAAGTCTCTCGTCTGCGCAGGCTTAATTTTTTTTCGTAACAACAGCTGTATTAAAAATCATATCTTCTAAAACACCATTACAATAACCACAGAACACAGAAAGAGATTAGAAGGGCCTTGTGGGCGGGGCAGGCACGCCACCGTCATGTTTGAGCAAATGCTCATAACTTAACCAAAACTTGGTTTTGTTTGCGTCGTTGCTCTCGGCCGTGATTGGTTCGATCTTTTGACGTCGCGTCGTTTGATTGGCTATTATCTATTAAGTGAAAGTGTAGTAGGGGCGAGCCGGCGATATCGGTTCCCGTGCAAACGGTCTATGATCAACCTTATAACCTCTTTCTGTGTTCTGTGGAAATATCATTATTACTTAATCTTAGCTAATAAGTTTTTGAGTTTATGTTATTGAAATGTTTCTATTATTTAATCAATAAAATCACTGAAACTTAGTAGAATCGACACCCTGTTAGTATTAGTATTTGTTTAAGGAAAAGTTTGATTAAAACATAATCTGTCTGTAGGCAACTCTCACAAAGGCTCATCAAACACATACATGTTTACCTACCACCGGTTTGCTTGTATCCGGTAATTTGTTCGATATGTTTGCTAACATAACTGTTTCTGTAAAAATCATCTGCGTGACCAAAAACCACAACATCAGTTAATAACTATAAATATAGTAATAAATAATAAACATATATATATATATATATATATATATAGAATTTACTAGCTGTCCCAGCGAATCGCCATTAAAAATAGGGGTTGGTGGTAGAAGGGTGAAAATTTAGGGTTGTATGTATCTTTGTATAATAAAAATGTAAAAATACAAAATTTTGTTAAAAAAATTAAGGGTTAACCCTTAACATTTAGGGGGATGAAATATAGATGTTGTCTGATTCTCAGACACTCAATATGCATATAAAATTTCACAAAAATCGGTCGAGCCGTTTCGGAGTAGTTCAATTACGCACACCGTGACACGAGAATTTTATATATTAGAGATATATTAACACAACAATCGCAATCACGACAAGCTATAAATTAAATATAAACTTACAGCCGCACTTAGAATCTTCTAATTAATTTAATTTTACATCAAGTATCGTGTTGTCTCATTCTATTGTTATCGAAAGGAAAGTGACAGCAGCAACTTTAGCCAAACTTAACGAAATTGTTTTTAACAGTAGTCAGGTATGCGCAAGAGCAATACAACCACATATTTTTTTGTTTATACAAAGTGGGTCTATGAAAGCTTAAGTAATACTTTCTTAATGCGGGGAGAGGCTGGTGCACTGAGACAGAGGCGTCAGCTTAGTTTGGTCACCAGTCTCTCACAATCTTAGTCTTAAGTTTTATAATCTGTTACTTATGAAGTATATGTAAGATTGTGAAGAGAAAATAAAGTTTTTATTTTTTTATTATAAAATAAAAGTTAAGTAAATTCGATTTTTGTTATATAAATATTCCTTACACTCAAACTAATTAGCCTAGACTTAAAGTTAACACTAGGCTTGTGTTTTGGAGTATTAAGATAACAAATAGATATAGGTACATATAAAAATATGATACATAGATAAGTATATCTTTGTACAGCCATGACTCGTGTAGAAATGCTCGTATTCATCATACAAACATTTTGCCATTGGGATTCGAACCCAAGGCCCCTGAATAGGCGACACCTTGAAAACCGGTGTACACTTTTTTGACTTTTGACCTCGGAGATAGTCAAATAATAATTTACTATCACTTTATAACCATGGTAAAAGAAAAGATGTTTGTTTGCTTCTAGTAACGGCGAGAATAATTATTTTTTAACCGACTTCAAATCTAAAGGCCCAATCTCCCTATTCCATCCATAGTGAAGGCCTGTGCCCCAGCAGTGGGGACGTTAATAGGCTGATGATATTATATTTTTTCAGATTTCAATTAAGAAGGTTAAATTACCTACCTTTATTAGTTCCGTTGAGAATGAACCATCTAGATGAGAAATCCCAGCCTGATTCTGCGGCACTCTTCAATTCTGCGTACAGTTCTTCTTTCTTGTCATTGTCGTCTAAATGCCTGCGAAAGAGATTAAGACCATATATTTATTTGATTTTTGGATTTGTGACTTGACACTGGAAGTGAGTTTAGTTCATACTGTTATCTGTGTTCTTTAAATGAGAAAAAGGATAGTTTGTTTATTATAATGGGGAGCTCGATGGTGTAAGTGGTTAGCGCGTTCGGTCTGTAATCGTGGAAGTTAAGGAACTTTCACAATGGCATAATATCGGATGGGTGACCAAAAATTTACAATCTTGGAGCTCCTCCGCCGTTGGTCCCGGCTGCATCTGCAGTCGTTGGAACCCACCAATCCACACTGGTACCGCGTGGTGGGTCACGGCCCAATCTCTTTATTCCATAGGAAAGCACTGTGCCCCAGCAGTGGGGTAATAGGGGTAAGGCGGATGATATGTTGTTTGGACCAATGCCATCCCACTTTCTCGTGTGACGTAGTTTTCCATCCGTATCTTTTGTAAGCGATCATGTGATAAAGAAAGCACTCCACTAACTTCTTTCTATGAAGAGCGTATACATTTTAATAATATGTAAAGAAAATTGTGAAATGCGTTCATCATAAATTTGTTAATTGTAAATATTTTTATTATAACTGGTGACCCGTATATATTTTTAAAGTTCTCGGGCATGTATTATACATATATAAACATTTCACTCAAATTCAAATAGTTGAATAAAATAATAAAAAATAATATTTCCAACAATATTTAATTGGTGGCAATTAGCCTAGCCCCAAAGTAAGCACTGTAAGGCTTGTGTTATGGGATACTAGGGTAACGGATAGAATACATATACTGTACATATATAAGTATATTTATATAGAATTACAAATTAAACATCCATGACTGGAGTACAAATGCTCGTATTCATCATACAAAAATCTGCCCCCACCGGGATTCGAACCCGGGACTATATAAAGATATAATATAATACTATGTAAAGATATAACGAATGTTATAATATCTACGTACTTCGCCACGTCGATGTCTTCTTTATAACTCTCGGGCCTCGGACCTTGTGATTGGTCAATAAACCTCGTCAAATTGTACCTGAAAACAATCCACAATAATATTATAAATGCGGAAGTGTCTCTCTGCTTGTTACAAGCAGCTCTTCAGGCTTAAACCGCTGAAGCGATTTAGATGAAATTTGGTAGACATAGTTTGAGTCCCGGCAAAGGATAAAGGATAGTTTTTAGCCTAGAAATGATCCTTTAAGGGGGTGAAATTAGTAAGGAAAATCAATGAGAGTTTTCTGGAATGACGGACACCAGGTGGCAGCACCAAGACGAAAGGTCTACTCATCCGTCAAATTGCATACATGTTTATAGTCTATGGATCAATTTAAATACTCGTTGGATTAGTTTGAGCCAAAAACTTTATACTAAAGACCTTCCGTCAAGTAGCGCCAACTGGTAGCGTAAACTTTTATAAATACCCTCATTGCATCACACAGATGAACTAATACAAAACTAGCTGATTCGGCGAACTTCGTACTGCTTACAATAGCTTTTTTTCCATATATTGAGACTACAAATTGAGATGTACGCTATCCTATCTTATAATTTGGATCAACTGCACACGGTGTGCAAAGGACATGGTAAAATTTTGTTTGAGCGCTAGCAATGTATAAATATTGTACTTAGTAATATATATAGCCTTGTCTCAAGCCTAATCAGAATAATAAAAATTTCGATATACTTAGACAAATATTTTTTGTTCATTCATTTTGTAAAACGGAACATTTTGCTTTTTAAACAGACATAAAAGTAAGATTTTATACTTTTAAATATTTGATTATTTCACGAAAGTTGTATGAGAATAATAAACACGTAATAATTAATAATAAATATTGTAAAGTTACGGGCAAGTGCGAAATATTTATACACGTTAAGGGCAGTTTCTTAGCCATGTCCTTTGATTAAAATCTGTTAAGTAGTTTAGGAGTACATTCCGAACAAACAACGTATCGCATAATTTATAAATATTAAGAAGATATAGTAAGACAAGATTAGTAGGAAAAAAGATTTATCAATAATAATAAAATAGTGTTTCAACTCACTTTTGGTTGTCGTGGTGCACTTCCACGGTGTGGTTGGTGATCCAGAAGTCGAACTCCTTGGCCAGCGTGTGGATGTGCTCCGCCAGGAACTTGGTATCATTGGTGCCTTCCAGGATTAGCTGCATCATCGGGATCAGGAGGGGCGGTTGAGATCTGTTGAGCGAATGATATAATGCACAACTCTTCATAGGTATCCCCATGGAAAGTAATACAGAAGAACATTTATTTGTTGGATGAGATGAGAAATTACAGGAAAAACCAGCTGCATCATCGGTATCAGGAGGAGGGGTTGGGATCTGTTGTGCGAATGATATAATGCACAACTTTTCATGGGTACGTTAGTGGTATCCCCATGGAAAGTATTAGAGAAGAACATTTATTTGTTGGATGAGATGAGAAATTACAGGAAAAACCAGCTGCATCATCGGTATCAAAAAGGGGGAGTTGGGATATTTTGAGCGAATGATATAATGCACAACTCTTTATTGGTGCCTAAATGGTAACATCATGGAAAGTAATAGAGTAGGTCATTTATTTCTTAGATGATATGAGAAATTATAGGAAAAATCAGCTTTATCAGCGTTATCAGGATGGGGATTGGGATCTGTTGAGCGAATGATATAATGCACAACTCTTTATTGGTACCTATGTGGTAACGCCATGGAAAGTAATAGAGTAGATCATTTATTTTTTGGATGATATGAGAAATTATAGGAAAAACCAGCTGCGGTATCAGGATGGGGTTTGGGATCTGTTGAGCGAATGATATAATGCACAACTCTTTATTGGTACCTATGTGGAACAACATGGAAAGTAATAGAGTAGATCATTTATTTGTTGGATGATATGAGAAATTTTAGGAAAAACCAGCTGCATCAGCGGTATCAGGATGGGGGTTGGGATCCGTTGAGTGAATGACATAATGCACAACTCTTTATTGGTGCCTAAGTGGTAACACCATGGAAAGTAATAATAATAGAAGATCATTTATTTGTTGAATGAGATGAGAAATTACAGGATTGTTACCATGTATCTTGTTTTTAGCGAATTTCCGATATTCATACTCGCTAAAAACAAGGTGCATGGTAACAATCCCGTAAATTACATAAACTACTGTAATGTTAGTGAACATGAAAGTTTAAAACAATATATCCATGATTTAGGTACAAATGCTATGCTAGTTTTTGTAATAAATATCGATTATGAAGAACTATCCTATTATTATTTTGATTTTCGGGGCTATGCAGTCCTAATGGGGCTGTAGTTACTGCGACTTATAAGATCTATTGTGACTCGTCACCAAGTTAAAGTATCTCTTTTAACTCGACAACTTCCAAGTAGCTCAAAATGTTTCTAGCTTTTAGAAATTTGAGTATTAAATGTCGTCCTAAATGAATACTACGTTTGTGGATGAGAGGCCCACATTCACATAGAAGGTGTTTTGGTGGTTCACGCTCCTGATTGCAGCATTTGCAAACACCAGTCTCACTCAATAGGGTATTTGACAGTATTAAAAATAAAGTGGCAATTGTTAGCATCTGTATTTACAATGCATATTGGCAGTTTTTACTATTTAAACAGAAAAACATATTCATAATTTTACTAAAACCCACGATAAAGATAATAGTTTTCTTGTCTTTTGTCACGTGACCCAAAACGCTTGGGATTGGTGGAGCCTAAAATTACGTCACACGCAAGTTAACTTTCGGTTAAAGTGACATTAGATTGTATGGTTTGACGTTTTAATGACAGTCGTGTGACGTCACACACCAGTGAGACGCCATATTGTCCAGAGATACGTTTTTCGCGGCAACTTGAAAATAGAGTTTTTGATTTAGTTTTTTTACCGAAATACACAATATAATGATGAATATCAATACTTTTTATGGACTCTATAAACATAAGTAAATTACGTGAGATCGTTTTCTAAAACTTGTCAAATACCCTATTTCTTAAGATAGAACTAGACTAAAGAAAGATCTTCATAAATCGCTTCACATACCTCATACCGTAGTATATCCTTCCCCCGTTCGGTATGAACCCAAACTTCTCCACAATGTTCAGGAAGTTATCAACCATCCCCTTGGCGGTGTCATGCATTTCGGAGAGCAAGAGACCTTTGATGATCCAGTACGAGTCCCAGTAGTAAAACTCGCGGAAACGACCGCCTGTAGTAGATGAAAGAGTAAGTAATTAGTGAAAAATATTTTTTAGGGTTCCGTACCTCAAAAGGAAAAAACGGAACCCTTATAGGATCACTGTGTTGTCCGTCCGTCCTTCCGTATTGTCAAAACCGTTTTTCTCAGAAACGCATGGTGGTATCAAACTGAAATTCATATCTAATACTCAGGTCTACTGTCCCTTGGAGCTGTGAAAAAATCAAACTTCTAAGCTAAAGCAATCAAAAGATACAGCCGTTTATGCCGCAAACTTTCGAAACTCGCACAAGGATCAAAACCTACTTGGTCTTATAGTACAGATAAAGGAAAAATTGCGAAAACCGTGAATTTTTAGTTACATCATACTATGTATAATATTAAATATTTTTCAATAATTATTAAAATATACCTACAAGTTTGTACGGAATTCGATAATAGTACTGTACCCCTAGCACGAACCATTATCGAATTCGAATAGTTTGCAAACCGAAATATCAATGTCAATTTTTGTATGGAAACTTGAACAGCAGCGGCACAAAGTACGTAACGAGAACTAAAAATCAGTACACATTTGTCACTGACATTTCGGACTCGCAAACGATACGAATTCGATAATGGTTCGTGCTAGGGGTACTGTTCTGTGCAAGTGAAGTAACCCATAAAAATACGTTACCTTATTATTAGAGTAATCTTTTACCAAAATTTACAAACAGTAATCTACATACCTGGCACTATAAAAGGTTTGTCTACGTATATGATGGAGTAGAGATGTTCGTTGTTCTTAACGTCTTCCTTCATCTTCCTGCCGAGTTGCAGCCACAGCCTGTTGAGATCAGACGCCCATTGGTGTAGCAACGGATCAGTTATCCTCTGCAGGAACTCTGCGAAAAGAATAAATATTAAATTATCTATATATATAAAACTCAAAGGCGAAAAAAATAAATATTAAATTATCTATATATATAAAACTCAAAGGCGAAAAAAATAAATATTAAATTATCTATATATATAAAACTCAAAGGTGACTGACTGACATAGTGATCTATCAACGCACAGCCCAAACCACTGGACGGATCGGGCTGAAATTTGGCATGCAGGTAGATGTTATGACGTAGGCATCCGCTAAGAAAGGATTTTGATCAATTCTACCCCCAAGGGGATAAAATAGGGAATGAAAGTTTGTATGAAACTTTGTCAATTTTAAACCGATCGGGCTGAGACTTTGAAGAATCATAGATGAATGTCATTGTGTATAATACAAGCCTAAGAACAATAACTGTAGTCTACACTTCAGCTCTACACCGAAGCGAAGCGAGGGCGGGCCACTAGTTTTTACTATTTTTAACAAAAAAAATATTCATAATTTTACTAAAAACTAACGAAAAGGATAATAGTTTTCTTATCTATTGTCACGTGACCCAAAACGCTTGGGATTGGCAGAGCCTAAAATGACGTCACACGCAAGTAAACTTCCGGTTAAAGTGACATTACATTGTATCGTTTGACATTTTAACAACAGTTGTGTTACGTCACACACTAGTAAGACGCCATATTGTCCAGAGAAACCAAATTCGCGGCAACTTGAAAATAGAGTTTTTGATTTGGTTATTTTTACTGAAATACACAACAGAATGATGAATATCCTTTTTACGGACTCCATAAACATTAGTCAATAACGTGAGATCGTTTTCTAAAACTTGTCAAATACCCTATTTTGACAATAATGTGCGCCACCCGCACCTCTCATGGTCTCCGTCCTCTCACACCCTATACCTCATAGGCGGGGACTCAGTTAAGCGGTCTACCTTTGACAATATATGGCCTGGCTACAGTCTGAAATTCTAGAACCTTTTTCTTGATGAGTCACACAAAAACTAAATTTTCCATCATTTGACTATGTCGTTTTGTTTTCGATCTACGGTCGGATCAATACAAAACCTACATTTTATTTTATTGTCTCGTGTCTGGGTTCTGGTATTTATTTATTTATGTGCATACATAAGTTACGATGTTTATATTGAAGGTTTTGCAATTCTTATTTATAGGTTTGGCTATGAGTACATGTGAATGATTGAAACGAGTTAGTTATTGGTACCGTTTGCAATTTTTCCTAGAAATATAAATATATAAATAAACAGCCATGACTTAGGTACAAACTAGCAAACCAGTGAGCCAAATGTTCACCAAAACCTGATTTAAAAAAAAAATGTATTTAATTAATTGAGAACTTCGGAGATTTTGTGTGGTTTCGTTTGAAATTCGTGATTTCTCGAAAACCGGAAGTGCTACGTTACTCAAATCCGGTTTGTAGTCTTATCAGCTATTCTTAACTTATAACTTAAACATTCTCTTTATCTATCTCTTACGGTTTGGCCGCTGAAACAGCACCACAGACAGACGGACGGACGGACGGACGGACGGACGGACGGACGGACGGACGGACGGACGGACTTGTCTAATAGATAAGAGATGCTCGTGTTCATCATATAAACGTTTGCACCCGCGCGGAATTCGAACCTCTGGACTTCTGAGTAGGCGCCCAGATCGCCATTCCGAACACTACAAGTACGCATTACTTTTTTGATCATTTCTATATATCCATCAAGATAAAAGCTCCTTTTAAAAATTAAGATCATAACATCATATTCGTCTCTGGAACGATCTTCCGGAGAGCGTGAGAAAAGCATCCAGTAAACCTGCTTTCAAGGTCCTCGTACGTCAGCATTTTGCTAAGAAGTCATAACAATTTCAATTTCTATATTATGATCAAACTCTGGTCAAACCGCCTAATATTAATATTATTTGTAATAGTATTTTGTTTTATTATAGTATTCTTAAGTAAGTAAAGTAGTATTTATTATTGTATATATTTAGTTATTTATCGTATATATAAAAAAATATGTATATATATGTATATTTATAGATGTTATGTATTATAATTATTATATTAAGTATCATGTAGTTTTATCAATTTAATATTATTATTTTATCTTTCACTTTTTGCTTTTATTTACTTTACCGCAGAATGTCTCTGCTTAGCCCGATAGCTGACTGGTAGAGAATGCCATGTGGCATTAAGTCCGCCATTTGTTGTAAAATGACAACAGAGAGTAAATAAATAAATACAGTAGACCCGTAATAATCCGGACCTGGTCTAAACCGACACCCCCCGTAATTCGACACGCCTATTTATTTATTTATACTTTATTGCACAAATGAGTGTACAAGTGGCCGACCGGCCTTTAGGCATTCTCTACCAGTCAACTGGAAAATTACAGCAAAAATCTTAAGAATCCTATCACTGTTGATTACAAATAACATTAATTGAAATAAACTTTAAAGACTTATAATTTGTCGGATTACAAGGGGCTCTTATTCAAAAAATACCGTACTATAAAGATGAAACTGAAACTAGCAGCCGACATTCTCTTGAGACAATTATTTTTTTTTCAACTAAAGTATTAGAGTATCTTGGCTGAAATTACACCCACTATTACTTCACCCTAAAAAGAAGTTCTGGGAAAAATTTCATCAATTTCGTATGTGTAGGAGATGAGATAAAGCTTTTTTAAAAAATAAATAATCTTTCTCCTGAGAGAAAATATTTTTTTACAACTAAACTATTAGAGTATCTTGGCTGAAATTACTTCCACTATTTCTTCACCCTAAAAAGAAGTATTGAGAAACATTTCAGCAATTTCGTATGTCTAGGAGATGAGATACAGCTTTTTAAACAAAAAAAAATATTCTCCTGAGAAAATATTTTTTTACTACTAAACTATTAGAGTATCTTGGCTGAAATTACTTCCACTGTTTCTTCACCCTAAAAAGAAGTTTTGAAGAAAATTTCAGCAATATCGTATGTCTAGGAGATGAGATACAGCTTTTTAAACAAAAAAAAATTATTTTCCCGAGAAAATATTTTTTTACAACTAAACTATTAGAGTATCTTGGCTGAAATTACTTCCACTGTTTCTTCACCCTAAAAAGAAGTTTTGAAGAAAATTTCAGCAATATCGTATGTCTAGGAGATGAGATACAGCTTTTTAAACAAAAAAAAATATTCTCCTGCGAAAATATTTTTTTACTACTAAACTATTAGAGTATCTTGGCTGAAATTACTTCCACTGTTTCTTCACCCTAAAAAGAAGTTTTGATGAAAATTTCAGCAATATCGTATGTCTAGGAGATGAGATACAGCTTTTTAAACAAAAAAATATTCTCCCGAGAAAATATTTTTTTACAACTCAAATATTAGAGTATCTTGGCTGAATTTATTTCCACTATTTCTTCACCCTAAAAAGAAGTTTTGAGGAAAATCTCAGCAATATCGTATGTCTAGGAGATGAGATACAGCGTTTTAAACAAAAAAAAATATTCTCCTGAGAAAAAATTTTTTTTGAAACTAAACTTTTACAGTATCTTGGCTGAAATTACTTCCACTGTTTCTTCACCCTAAAAAGAAGTTTTGAAGAAAATTTCAGCAATATCGTATGTCTAGGAGATGAGATACAGCTTTTTAAACAAAAAAAAATATTCTCCTGCGAAAATATTTTTTTACTACTAAACTATTAGAGTATCTTGGCTGAAATTACTTCCACTGTTTCTTCACCCTAAAAAGAAGTTTTGAAGAAAATTTCAGCAATTTCGTATGTCTAGGAGATGAGATACAGCTTTATAAACAAAAAAAAAAATATCCTGAGAAAATATTTTTTTAAAACTAAACTTTTAGAGTATCTTGGCTGAAATTACTTCCACTGTTTCTTCACCCTAAAAAGAAGTTTTGAGGAAAATTTCAGCAAGTTCATATGTCTAGGAGATGAGATACAGCGTTTTAAACAAAAAAAAATATTCTCCTGAGAAAAAATTTTTTTTGAAACTAAACTTTTACAGTATCTTGGCTGAAATTACTTCCACTGTTTCTTCACCCTAAAAAGAAGTTTTGAAGAAAATTTCAGCAATATCGTATGTCTAGGAGATGAGATACAGCTTTTTAAACAAAAAAAATTTTCCCGAGAAAATATTTTTTTACAACTAAACTATTAGAGTATCTTGACTGATAGTGGAAGTAATTTCAGCCAAGATACTCTAATAGTTTAGTTGTAAAAAAATATTTTCTCGGGAAAATTTTTTTTGTTTAAAAAGCTGTATCTCATCTCCTAGACATACGATATTGCTGAAATTTTCTTCAAAACTTCTTTTTAGGGTGAAGAAACAGTGGAAGTAATTTCAGCCAAGATACTGTAAAAGTTTAGTTTCAAAAAAAATTTTTTCTCAGGAGAATATTTTTTTTTGTTTAAAACGCTGTATCTCATCTCCTAGACATATGAACTTGCTGAAATTTTCCTCAAAACTTCGTTTTAGGGTGAAGAAACAGTGGAAGTACTTTCAGCCAAGATACTCTAAAAGTTTAGTTGTAAAAAAATATTTTCTCGGGAGAATATTTTTTTGTTTAGAAAGCTGTATCTCATCTCCTAGACATACGAAATTGCTGAAATTTTCTTCAAAACTTCTTTTTAAGGTGAAAAAACAGTGGAAGTAATTTCAGCAAGACACTCTAGTTTAGTTGTAAAAAAATATTTTCTCGGGAGAATATTTTTTTTTTGTTTAAAAAGCTGTATCTCATCTCCTAGACATACGATATTGCTGAAATTTTCTTCAAAACTTCTTTTTAGGGTGAAGAAACAGTGGAAGTACTTTCAGCCAAGATACTCTAAAAGTTTGGTTTTAAAAAAATATTTTCTCAGGAGATTTTTTTTTATGTTTAAAAAGCTGTATCTCATCTCCTAGACATACGAAATTGCTGAAATTTTCTTCAAAACTTCTTTTTAGGGTGAAAAAACAGTGCAAGAAATTTCAGCCAAGATACTCTAAAAGTTTAGTTGTAAAAAAATATTTTCTCGGGAGAATATTTTTTTGTTTAAAAAGCTGTATCTCATCTCCTAGACATACGAAATTGCTGAAATTTTCTTCAAAACTTCTTTTTAGGGTGAAGAAACAGTGGAAGTACTTTCAGCCAAGATACTCTAAAAGTTTAGTTGTAAAAAAATATTTTCTCGGGAGAATATTTTTTTGTTTAAAAAGCTGTATCTCATCTCCTAGACATACGATATTGCTGAAATTTTCTTCAAAACTTCTTTTTAGGGTGAAGAAACAGTGGAAGTAATTTTAGCCAAGATACTCTAACAGTTTAGTTGTAAAAAAATATTTTCTCGGGAGAATATTTTTTTGTTTATAAAAAGCTGTATCCCATCTCCTAGACATACGATATTGCTGAAATTTTCTTCAAAACTTCTTTTTAGGTTGAAGAAACAGTGGAAGTAATTTCAGCCAAGATACTGTAAAAGTTTAGTTTCAAAAAAAATTTTTTCTCAGGAGAATATTTTTTTTTGTTTAAAAAGCTGTATCTCATCTCCTAGACATATGAACTTGCTGAAATTTTCCTCAAAACTTCTTTTTAGGGTGAAGAAACAATGGAAGTACTTTCAGCCAAGATACTCTAAAAGTTTAGTTGTAAAAAAATATTTTCTCGGGAGAATATTTTTTTGTTTAAAAAGCTGTATCTCATCTCCTAGACATACGATATTGCTGAAATTTTCTTCAAAACTTCTTTTTAGGGTGAAGAAACAGTGGAAGTAAATTCAGCCAAGATACTCTAACAGTTTAGTTGTAAAAAAATATTTTCTCGGGAGAATATTTTTTTTTGTTTAAAAAGCTGTATCTCATCTCCTAGACATACGAACTTGCTGAGATTTTCCTCAAAACTTCTTTTTAGGGTGAAGAAATAGTGGAAGTAAATTCAGCCAAGATACTCTAATAGTTTAGTTGTAAAAAAATATTTTCTCGGGAGAATATTTTTTTGTTTAAAAAGCTGTATCTCATCTCCTAGACATACGATATTGCTGAAATTTTATTTAAAACTTCTTTTTAGGGTGAAGAAATAGTGGAAGTAATTTCAGCCAAGATACTCTAATAGTTTAGTTGTAAAAAAATATTTTCTCGGGAGAGTATTTTTTTTTTGTTTAAAAAGCTGTATCTCATCTCCTAGACATACGATATTGCTGAAATTTTCTTCAAAACTTCTTTTTAGGGTGAAGAAACAGTGGAAGTACTTTCAGCCAAGATACTCTAAAAGTTTAGTTGTAAAAAAATATTTTCTCGGGAGAATATTTTTTTGTTTAAAAAGCTGTATCTCATCTCCTAGACATACGATATTGCTTAAATTTTCTTCAAAACTTCTTTTTAGGGTGAAGAAACAGTGGAAGTAATTTTAGCCAAGATACTCTAACAGTTTAGTTGTAAAAAAATATTTTCTCGGGAGAATATTTTTTTTTGTTTAAAAAGCTGTATCTCATCTCCTAGACATACGAACTTGCTGAGATTTTCCTCAAAACTTCTTTTTAGGGTGAAGAAATAGTGGAAGTAAATTCAGCCAAGATACTCTAATAGTTTAGTTGTAAAAAAATATTTTCTCGGGAGAATATTTTTTTGTTTAAAAAGCTGTATCTCATCTCCTAGACATACGATATTGCTGAAATTTTATTCAAAACTTCTTTTTAGGGTGAAGAAATAGTGGAAGTAATTTCAGCCAAGATACTCTAATAGTTTAGTTGTAAAAAAATATTTTCTCGGGAGAATATTTTTTTTTTGTTTAAAAAGCTGTATCTCATTTCCTAGACATACGATATTGCTGAAATTTTCTTCAAAACTTCTTTTTAGGGTGAAGAAACAGTGGAAGTAATTTCAGCCAAGATACTCTAAAAGTTTAGTTTCAAAAAAAATTTTTTCTCAGGAGAATATTTTTTTTTGTTTAAAACGCTGTATCTCATCTCCTAGACATACGAAATTGCTGAAATTTTCTTCAAAACTTCTTTTTAGGGTGAAGAAACAGTGGAAGTTATTTCAGCCAAGATACTCTAATAGTTTAGTTGTAAAAAAATATTTTCTCGGGAGAATATTTTTTTTTTTGTTTAAAAAGCTGTATCTCATCTCCTAGACATACGATATTGCTGAAATTTTCCTCAAAACTTCTTTTTAGGGTGAAGAAATAGTGGAAGTAATTTCAGTCAAGATACTCTAATAGTTTAGTTGTAAAAAAATATTTTCTCTCAGGAGAAAGATTATTTATTTTTAAAAAAAGCTGTATCTCATCTCCTACACATACGAAATTGCTGAAATTTTGCCCAGAACTTCTTTTTAGGGTGAAGAAATAGTGGGTGTAATGTCAGCCAAGATACTCTAATAGTTTAGTTGAAAAAAAAAAATTTTGTCTCAAGAGAATGTCGGCTTCTAGTTTCAGTTTCAACAATTTATTAAAATTATATTTTTAGGAGAGGAGATAAAGGTACCAAAACTTGTCACGTTAATTTTTAATATTATTTGTAATTTCGCAACGAAAAATTCTAATTTTTAAAAAATATAGGGCCCGGACCCTATCTTCTATGTTTCATCCATGTCGGCTGCTAGCTGGTGGCTGCTAGTTTCAGTTTGATACTATAAAGGGTAGTCGCACAGTATTCTATAATAAGGATGATGACTATTTTTTTTTCTTCGTTTATCAGGTAGATTATCAAAAAGTATTGGACATGTATTTTTTCTTTTTTCACATAATATAAACATTGCAGAAATATATTGATTTGAAAAGTCGCATGACGTCACGTTTTGGTACACAAGTGAAAATTCACTAAAAAGTGACGTCACGAGCCCCTACTCCCAAACTTTGACGCGCTATAACTTTGTCATGTTTTGGTTGATTTCCCAAAGAAAAAATACGTGTGCATTATTTATTGATCATCTAACTGAAGGACTAAATCGAATTTCGTTTACTTTACCCCGTCATCACCCCTATTCGACAAATTGGGTAATCTGACATCACCCCGCAAAACGTTTGTCGGATTACCGCGGATCTAATGTATATATTCTGTAGGTATAGGGGGAGCTCGATGGTGCAGGTGGTTAGTAACCCTCGCAATGGCCGATCTTTGAATGCGTAACATAAAACTCGAGCTCCTCCGTGCTTCGGAAGGCACGTAAAGCCGTCGGTCCCGGCCGCATCTATAATCGTTAGCACCCATCAATAGTATCCGCTCGGTGGGTCCGGCCCAGACTCCCTATTTCATCTATAGGGAAGACCTGTACCCCAGCAATGGGGGCATTAATAGGCTGATGATGAAGCTTCTATGCTTTGGTGACCGTTTACCATCAGGCGGGTCATATGGTTCTATGCTACAGTTTTTTTCTAGTAGAGTTATAATTACTTGGCTCCTTCTTCCAGTCAGTCGGTTTCCATTCTTCGAACTCCGAGCCTTCGCTCTCAAAGTTCTTCTGCACAAACGCCCAGATTTCCGCCCTTGTAGGGAAGCCTGAGCTGTAACACAATCATTTAGTTAGTTAATAAACCGTTGCAGTCAGATACGTCAATGAATTTAAGTTTGATTAAAGTTGTTGCTGTCACTTTCTTAGCAGCTGTAGATAGAGATAACTTTGACAAGCATTTAATTTTACACATTTTTTTTAATAGTTATCCACAACTTTGGTATGAATGCCTTTACGCGGCGAAAAGCGGTACGCGACCGGCGGCGCGACGAGCGATTTACATACCTGTACATTACGATTGTACCACTGTATAGTAGTTTACATTTCTGAACAAAAAGAGTTATGAGTTAGCATTTTACTCAACGCGCGGTCGGTCGCGCTGTTCTGTGATCAGCCCGTGTAGGAAGGAGTGAACACGTGTGCGGGCAAAGAATTCCACTTACGAATAGTAAGACAAAGAAATTAGTCACCAAATTTCTTTGTTCGTGTAGGAATAGTGGCCACAGTAAGGTGGCAAAGTAGGCCAGCGCGCGTGGTCCTCTGAAGAAAAGGTGATGGAGGCATACGGGAGAAAAGAAACTGCGGTAATCTGACATCTCATATGTTATATCTCGCTCTATCTGCCTGTACAGTGTATGTGTGTATCTGCCTCTGGTTTTATATAATCATTTCTGACAGATTACAGCAGTTTCGCTACCGAGGTTCGCCTCCTCTGTGTGCTAACGGCGGAAATATCCTTACTCTATTGGCTATACAAGTTAATAAAGGTTACTACAATGAGGATTACGATTACCTATTTCCCATCATTTCCCTAAAATGCTTCATGGTGTCATCGGGATGGTTTATCAGCTTCATGTCGACGAATGTCTTGGAGTCGTTGTACAGGCCCGCCATCTGGACCGTCTCCAGGAGAGGCCCGTGGCAGTAGATCTCACTGAAAACCACAAAAAGAATGAGATAATTAGGTCACATTTTTAAATAACACTACCTATTTCATGAGACCTATTCCATCCAGTTGATGGCAAATTTTTGTTAAATCAAGTTCGTACGTGCTTCAGATCTTTCAGGCTGACACGTCACTTCTTGACCAGTCGTAATAGGGATGTAACGTCCACACTCGCACTCTAGGCATATATTCTGAGGACCGAGATCCTCAACATGCGTGCCGGGTGACCGTAGCAGGAGTATAGTCTATGGTTTTAGTTCGTGGGACCGCCCTGCCTTTCGCCGAACTTCAGGGTTCGAGTCTCACATGCCCTTGTTGGAACTCCCGGTGGTGAAGAAGGCTGCACGCCTTTCCCTGTCATTCGGCAATGCCATGTTACGATTCCGGCCACGAGGCCATAACGAAAGGATGTTGAATGTGTAAGGATGTAGAACCCGGGGAAAGTAAAGACTTGAGAGGTTGGGCACAACCGATTTTCCTCTCGAATTCGAGCGCCCGTCTGGGGAAGCAACCTCCATCTTACAGAAAACCACAGTTAAATAACCTTTTGGTTGGTACTGTGTTTCTGTTAGTGAGTATGGCCAGATCGTCGCACTTTCTGCCGCATCACCTATCTTTGCCACTAGACTCCACTTACACTTAACATCAGATGGGGAGGGATAATTTGTTGCGCATTGTAATAAAATACTAACCTATCTATAACGATCAAATTGAACGCATTCTGAAAGTAAGTAGATAGGTAGATGTTGGAAGCCGCAAAGTTTAGCAGACACGTATAGAAACAGTTAGTTTGCAGAGTCAAAGGATAGGGATTGACAGTGGATTGTTAAGGACTGTGTCTTGTAGCGTTTTTATTGAGGGCGTACTAGCAGACGGCTCACCTAAAGATAAATGATCAGCGTAGCCCATAGACATCTACAACACCGGGAGTAACACAAAATGGGATGCTGGTCTTAAGGAAGAAGTTTTTCTGTTCTTTTCAGGTTCAGTTCACGGTTTCCTCAAAATTTTTGTACAAAGAGTAATGATTTAAGAGTAAGACTTGCAGTCACGTGAAATGATAAGATAAAGATTGTCTTTGTAGCACAATGCAACGCAATATGTAATATTATTAAAATAGAAGATTTTATCATTGTAACTCTGCGCAATATGCAGTATTTTATAAGTAACTATCCGATCCGCCCGGCTTTGTACGGGCCAAATTGATTTTAACGTAATAAAATACAGTTTGTGTCATTCCTAAATAATGTAGCTTTCTAATGGTGAAAGAATTTTTGGAACCAGTCCAGTATTTTTTTAAGTTTATTCGTTACAAACATACAATAATACAAGTTTTTCCTCATTAGAATATTAGTATAAAATGGTAGAGGTGCTAAATTTTTACTTTAACCTGTCGAAGGTCATATTGAAGCAATCTCTGGTTTCAGGGCTCCATAAGATTGGGTCTTTTTTTTTAGTGTGTACGCTGTTGGTCGTAAAAAATACCCAAAACAAAAAGTACGATTTGCTTTGGCTAGGCGTCTTTTTGAATTTAGGAAAAACAAAAAACAGTGATTAAAACAATGCGCATAGTGATGACTCGCTGTAACAATGTTTTTTGTTTGCCATATGCTTGATTGCAACTCATCTAGTTGCAAACAAGCATATGGCAAACAATGCCGAGCAAGTCTAATCGTAAGCGGCCACCGCAGCCTAGAACGGCTTGCGATACCAAGCATATCACTCCCACCACTGCCTACCCTGACCCAATCCTCCCCCCTCAGGTTCGAGTAGTCTAGAGGCTCCAGATGGAGAGGAGACTCCCCGCGTGGGGAGATGCCATACGCCTGGAATACCTCTAGAGGCACTCGCCAATAGGGGTGATAACGGGGTACAGTAAACGAAATTCTATTTAGTCCGTCAGTTAGATGATCAAAACATAATGGACACGTATTTTTTCTTTGGGCAATTAACCAAAAAATGACAAAGTTATTGCGCGTCAAAGTTTGGGAGTAGGGGTTCGTGACGTCACTTTTTAGTGAAGTTTCACTTAAAAGTGTACCAAAACGTGACGTCATATGACTTTTCAAATCAATATATCTCTGCAATGTTTATATTATGTGAAAAAAGAAAAATACGTTTCCAATACTTTTTGATAATCTACCTGATAAACGAAGAAAAAAGTTAGTCATCATCCCTATTCTCGGCTTGAGGTCCCCTTAGGATCTCTTCCCAAACCCAGTGACGCTGTAAATCTGTGACCAACAGCATGCACACTCAAAAAAAAAACGGTGACATGTTACAAAATTTCGGATACCTACCTACCTACCTTGGGTCAAATACACAACGATACTAAAGAAGTTTTTACTTCAATCAAGATACGCATCGTTATCGGTCCATGAATTCCATGATCGATCCGCTGTCTGTCCGGCAAAAGCATTATTTTGATATGTAGTACTTTTACGTTATAAAATATATATTAGCATCCAAATTTAACAAAAGCGAAACGAAAGGAGGCTTTAAATATTTTTAGAGGAAAATCTGAGTACATTTCTTTAGCGCCGGAGATGGGGCAATTTTGTATGGGATTTCTCGGATTTCATTTCCATAACATTTTCTAACTGATGATGAATGAAAACCACATCAAAACCCTTTTTGTAGTTCAGAGAATTTCAAATTATAGTTACAGAATTAGACATTGAAACATTAATTACTCCTGTTTAAATCGGCCAACAATAAAGCTATTTATGATTGACCACAAATATTTGCAGTCGTGTGTCATTCATATGATAATTTATCATGTTTGCGAGTATGTCTGTCGACGAGACGTGGATGAGACTGGCTGGAGTGACGTCATCGTTACTAACCGGTTCGATCGACATTACGATCGCTGTGCACGCACGTACTGTCTGATTCGAGGTTATTGACTACTATATTGATAGGTAACTAATATTGATACGTCATGTCTTTTCTCTTATTAATATTTCAGATTTTTGGGGCTATGCAGTCCCAATGACTCGCTACCAAGTTCAAGTATCTCTTTTAATCCGACAGCTTCCAAGAAGCTCAAAATATATAAAGCTAGAAACTAGCTTTTAGGGATTTGATTTCCTCTGGGCATATTAAATGTCATCCCAGGTCGAGAGTCATTAAGAATCATCTCGCACACAGATTTGACGACTTCCAATCCTAGAACATCCCGGGTTCACACACATTCATACATAGTGGCAGGTTATACAGAAAACTGAAGAGCCTGCCCCATTGTTTGATATTTGTGGACTTCGAGAAAGCCTTCAGATCTATTAAACACAGTCACTCCAAAGGTGATAAGTAGACTACAGGTATATCGAGTTGTTAAGGTATCTTTTCTAAAACGCTACATGTCAGAGAACCAGAGCTCTTATCTTAATCTGTTCAAAGCTGCGTTGGAGGCAACATTAATGATGAGTTCCTTACACGGCTTTGTTTCGCCAATGATGTGGTTCTTTTGTCTGAGACCTCAGAAAAACTGAACATAATACCGCAGATATAAGTCCTTCTCAAAGATATAATTTTTAAGACAAAAACATGTCGAATGCAACGATGTTGTATCCACTCCACTTAAAATTGGTTACACAACACTCGACTTTGTTGACCACTATGTAAACGGGATCTCTCTTCGAATCCAGCTTGGATGCGCAGCGTTCAGGCTTCGGGAAATTACGAAAAAACTTCGCGTCGAAATTACCTTAGTGTCTCAAGACAAAAAATCTTTGACCAGTGGGTTTTGTTTTGCCAGTATACGGAACCAAAACGGAAGACTGAGCGAACATTGGAGAGAGGCATGCACGGTATGTTCCTGTGCAATAGAATCATAAATGAAAAAACCATAGGAAAACTAAAGTAGGTAACTGACATGGATCCTTAGGGAGGAGTGGAAACGTGCACCCGACGACACACTCAGACAGTAGGGCCTCCACGAGATAGCCCGACGATCTGTTAAAGGTCGCAGAAAGCCGCTGGATGCAAATACCGCAGGACTAAACGCTCTGGAGATTAGGGGAGGCCTACACTCGGCAGCCGGCGTTGTACAGCTGATACCTAATGATGAAAATATAAAATAACTAGTAATATATATAAAATAAATGTGCTTAATTGTCTTCCCTAAAAATACTTATAAATATCCTAAAAAATAAAGGAGTCCCGAAAATCCCTAAAGTTGCGGGAGTCCCGGTTCCTTTATCGGGTTGTCTCGAAAATCCACAGACTCTATTTTTGCATTGGTTCTTCATTCCCTAGTATATACCGACTCAAAAAATATATATAACTTTTCACAACAACGATTTTCGGTAATCCCTTCCCTAAATGCTACCAATTTCGTAGAGATAAGATATCGAAATGTAATCTCCATTTTGTTACCGATAATTCGCTATCATGAACGAGGACACTGGAAATGCAATCGCGATTGTTGCCACGGAAGTTGGAAACGGCCTGAAAGCTGATTTCAAATAGTTAGGCGTATCATGTGGAATTGAAAAACCTATAAATTACGGTAATGCCCCAGTTCTGTTTTCCTTGCAAAACGCCTATAATTCGCTATCATGAAGGGATAATTCGTTATCATGAAGGAACGTGACACTTGAAATGCAATCGCGGTTGTTACCACATAAGTTGGAAAGCCCTGAAGCCCGGATTTCAAATAGGTAAGGGTATCATGTAGCATTTATATACCTATAAATGCCGGTAATACCCCAGTACTTTCCTTTCAATATGTCTACAGCTATTTAATACAGAAGATCGAGTCTCTTGGACTACCAAGAACGGCAGGGAGGCCCATAGCGGATGTTCCACTGAAATTGGAGCGACGCTCTGAGGATATACTGAAAAGATCATAGTGAACTAACACTACCTTTTGGTGGTGTTGTGTTTCTGTCGGTAAATAAGGTTCCAGAGCTCTATGGGGTAAGGGATTGCGTCAGGTAGGCAACGGTGCGAGTGATAGTTTTGGTATAGCAAGCTTCTAAGAGGAACTCGATGGCGCAAGTGGTTAGCGCGTTCGGCTGCGATCCTTGAAGTTAAGACCAAAAATTTACTATCTCGAGCTCCTCCGTGCTTCGGAAGGCACGTTAAGCCGTTGGTCCCGGTTGCATTTGCAGTCATTTGCACCCACCAATCCGCTGGACCCGCGCGGTGGGTCATGGCCCAATCTCCCTATTCCATCCATAGGGAAGGCCTGTGCCCCAGCAGTGGGGACATTAATAGGCTGATGATGAAGCTTCTATGCTTTGGTGACCGCTCACCATCAGGCGGGCCATATGGTTCTATGCTACAGTTTTTTTCCGTAAAGTAATTGGGATGATGACTAATTTTTTTTTCTTCGTTTTGTATAAAGATTTTGGAAACGTATTTTTTCTTTTTTCACATAATATAAACATTGCAGAGATATATTGATTTGAAAAGTCGCATGACGTCACGTTTGAGTACACTTATAAGTGAAAATTCACTCAAAAGTGACGTCACGAGCCCCTACTCCCAAACTTTGACGCGCTATAACTTTGTAATTTTTTGGTTGATTGCCCAAAGAAAAAATAGGTGTCCATTATTTTTTGATCATCTAACTGACGGACTAAATAGAATTTCGTTTACTTTACCCCGTCACCACCCTTATTAAAGACCCGTAAAAGAGATTGCTTTTGGGACAGTCAAGAATAAGACATTAGTAAAGCACTTATAAGGAGCACCTAACTTCTTGTTTCACTCTGTAAAAAAATCTGTATTGAATTTGGAATTTTTTTAACTACTTAATTAAATTTATATTCCAGTGTTAGAATAACATAGGTAGGTGTATCAGACACACACCTACTGTTAGATTTATCTATATCGTAGATTCTATTTTCAACCACAAAGGACGCTTCCTGTTATATTAAATCTACAATCACTTCCACTAACAGCACGTTAGGTATACAATAGCCACCTAATCGTTTTATGCACATAGCAATAAAGTTCAAAATCCGCTGTATTAACTTATTGTCACAGTCAAAGCAATATAAATCCTAATCAGTAGACGGTAAGATACAAAGCAAGGTCGATCCGATTTGTAGGTACCTAGCACGGTGTGAAAATAACCTCATTGAGAATTTTCCAGGAAATCAGCATTTAGATGTAAAATCAGGATGCTAATTTTTAACATGTAAGTACATTTCTTGATTTTACGACTCGCAAACGACTAGTCAAAGTCACGGACATCGATTGGTAAAGAGTATTATAGTCTCTACCCATTCACTGCCACATATAGGGTAGCCAAATGGTCGCGAATCGTCTGAATTCTCCCGACAAGTAACGTAATCTCCCGACAAAAGAACATGACGATACATTTATCACTTTAAAAAATGTACTGAATTTATGAACTGCCCTTACATGTCCATTTCACTTTTGGCTTACCATCTTAGCCCCACTGAAATAGGTAATTTACAAAAAGTAGTTGAATTAAACTGTGAATAGCCAAACCTTGGTTTACTAATAAATAAATTTCAGTTACATACATATAGACCAACTGTTCTGTAGCATTTTACATTAGCATTTCAGTTAATTGAGTTTATTTAAAAACTACTAAACCATTTTGATATATTTAGTCAAATTCCATTTCGGTAATCTGTATCATAACAATGTATTATTATAATCAAACACACTTGAGGCGATTATTTACATAGAGTTGGTCTAACTATTTATTAGCAAGCAAAACGGCTATAAATCAATGAAAAGTGATGTAACTGTTTCCCAAAAAGTTCGGTTACAGATTGCCAGTGTGTGGTCAATAAAAACTTGGGTATTATAAAGTTCTTACCTACTACATGTTGGAGGTAGATTACTGCGGTCAGCACCCACGGCGACCGCCAGCAGAACGCCGATTAAGCACCACATCTCCATGATGATCAACACTTAGATTTTCAACTAATTATCCGCACAAAAACGAACCAACACCACTATCCACTGAACAACTATCCGAAGTTAATGGCACTTAACCTTAAATTAATATCACTTGGGTTACAAATAAAGGAACTTCTTAATCTACAGGTATCACTTGGAACGATTTCTGTGTTCTCACGTTTTCTATTTTATATGGGCAATGTTACGTGTTCAGGTAGGTATTGGAGTTTTTTAACGGTTTCCTCCTGAATGGCTGGATCATTTTGGTCTGAATGTCTGCGTTGGTAGAGTGGTCAGGGGATGAAACTATCCGTGATAAACAGCATTCTGAAACAAGGAGAAAGTCAAATTAGTTAAGACAGAATAGACGTTTTGATACATTTAATCCTATTGTGATTGCTATATACGCAACTAGACGCCACTAGGAGGAAAGGGATAACGTGCTATACTTCTATAAACAAGGACTTCTATAAAAAGAGTAAGAAATTAATTTCATACAGAAGTATGCCACTATAAATTAAAAAATAAACAAAAATGGATCCATACGTCTTAAGATTTTTCAGTCATCAGAAACCAAAACGAATTGCGACGGATTGTTTTGATATATGTTTACAAAAAGCCCTCATTGAAAGTTATTTATAGTTGTAAACATCTTGTTTATTGATACTATAGATATCAAGAGCTAAATTGGTCAAATCATAAACTAAAAAGAAAACATAGCTGGCAATAAAATGGAACAACAGATAAATGAGGAGGTGTAGATCAGATCAGATCATTATATAGATAATAGAATCAATATTGAATACAATTACTTTATAGCAAAGATTTCAAATAAGAGGACGTTTGTTGGCACCTCAATAAAATTCTGATGAAGCTACGATCCAACTTTGATCCTTGTTCCTACTAATATTATAAACTAAAAATTTGTATGTTTGTTACTAAACTCCGCAAAAATGGCTGAACGGATATTGGTCAAATTTTACACACAGACAACTTATAACCTGAAAAGAGACATAGAATCCTTTTGATCAAATAAGAAACAAATAAAATAAAATAATAGGGGTCAGGTTATAATTTGGAAAGGGGAATAATGCAAGAGGTCTTTGTAACTATTTTATAACAGGCCATACCGATTAGTATCACGTTGCACAATAAAATTCAAACAGGTTCGACGTGATACCCACGTGAATGTGCCCACAATTGTCCAATCTTCTAAATTGTAACTGACGCTTAGTGCGAAAATTAACAGGATGCGAGGATGCGCGAATGGGACGGCATGACGTCTGACGCCCGCGTCATAGATCAAAGAAAATATTGGACGGAATGAGGATTTTGTACTGAATATCTGCTAGCAATAGATAGCATGCGTCCAACACTTTACAGTTTTACAAAGCTAATTTTAAAGCATTGCCAAACTATTTGGACATGCCTCAAATACAAAAATGTCAACATGTTACTTAAACCTTAATATGAAAGGCTGGATAATATTCCTGATCTCAATAAAAAAGTATAAGTCAAGGTAACAAAATATTTCCATCAATGATCGGTTCATTTGTATAGGTACCATTTCCATTTTATTAATTCGTAAATGTTGGATATACGTTTTCAAAGAAAGATCTTTCTAAATTAGATATCTTGCGGAAATTTCGTGATTTTTCAAGGTTCTGCTCAGTATCAATAAAGCCTATTTATAAATCTACCCCAGTCCGTTCAACTGCAGTGTCATCGTGCCATTCAACTTTGACATCTATTGCTCCGGCAGAGGGTAGAGCGAAAAAATATTACATACACGGAACTGCTAACTGTGGACATCCGTAGCTTGATTCACGAACAACCATTTGACCCGTTGTATCAATTGGAAAATTACCTTCATCCAACCTTGGATAGGCTAGAAAACAAATCTGAAAAGAGTCTGGAAATATCTTGACATTTCGATATGTGACGGTCCGGCGAATACTAATAACAATTCACTTTATTGGTTAAAACACACCTAAATGGGTGATGGAAAAATATTGGGCGAATCAAAAGAGATTTCCAACTACCTACTGATAGGCCAAGTCAAAAGTTAGGCCTGCTACTAGTTGTTCAGTGCGAACAACTGATTAAGTAGACTAAATACTTAGAACTACCATCTAAGTATTCATCATAGAAGACGCTGAAATTGGCAATGATAAATTCAGATTAGTTGGGGAAGTTGTAAATATTTAATTAATTAAACAAAGAATTTTTAAAATTTCAAAATATTAATCTAATGCATTTATAGTTATAATTTTAATTTTTTAAGCATTTAACTGTTTGATGTTTAAATCTAAAGAATCGCAATCCAATCCAATTTACCGCAGAACCACCAGAGGGACGGCAAAACGCCACAGATATACCGTAGAGGTCCCACAAACTCGTACTAAACGGTTTGCTTCCACCTATATAGTTAGAACAGCTAGGTTGTGGAACTCTTTGCCGGAATCTCTGTTTCCAGTCACCTATAATCTGGGGCTCTTCAAGTCGCGAGTCAATCGGTTTCTTCTAGGCAAGCGCGTCCCACCTTAGGCTGCTACGTCGCTTTTCATCAGTCGCATGGCCGTCAAGCGTAAGCCTATTTATTGTAAAAAAAAAAAATCGGGCTTATGCACTGACCTGACCAATTATGCTACCGGGGCCCTAGCATTTATATTTAAATGTCATTTCATTAAATACCAATAAGTATACCCTTTGCCAAAACAAAATAGGGATATTTATTTATATACTGTCAAACAGGGCCTAATACCGCTTTCTCACTGATTCAAGTTCATGTAATGACGTTCGTACATACCATATATTAGTTATGTACGTAAATACGGAAATAGTTCAGTTTTTTCTTTAAACATTGTTTCTAAACGAGTTATGACATCATCAATCATCAGTGCCGATGAGTTTTCAGGCAGTGTTGAAATATTTATGTTTTCAACACGTAATTTTGTTTAATCTGCTACTGAATAATCTACTTCTTTGAGACAGCGCATACCAAAACTAATGTTATGAATTTGTTTGAAAAAGTAAACTTCTCGAATATAAAATACCATATCCTTTTTTAAGTATGGGTAGGTAATATCCGAATTCCTAACCAAAAAGAAAATAGAGATGAGTGTTTATGTGGCAACTTGAAACTGACACCATCATGCGACATATATACTGGATTTTTTTTTTATTAATTTTTTTTATTTTTTATTGTTGCTTTAGATTCTGTAGAAATGAAATGGTGTAGTGTACAGCCAAATGGTTTAAATTTTAATAATAGTTTTATTAACTTCAGCTCCTCTAACATGACCACTGAAACGGGATATATCGCTTTATCATATCCCGTTTCGGTGGTCATGCTAGAGGGGCAGATCGGCCACGAAATATCGACCAGTTTTAAGCATAATTCACAAAAGTTCCTTTCTTACTTTTACGCGTCAAATAAATTGAAACTGTGATGTGTCGACATTAGCTTTTACGTCATGTCGGAAGCGTGCTAATCACCTGAATATACTAAATTAAAATAATTAACTACACCAATATGGCAGAAACAACGCTGTACAGTTCTACGTTTAGCAAATGTATCAATAGATAAAATATGAATTGCGTCTCTGCATTCCAGGGAAAAAGGAAGTCTGTCAACAGATGATAGCATATTCGGAAACTTAAACAATGTGCTGGCAAACTGTTATTTTTGTATCCAGGCAACTCAAATTTGATGGGCAATGTTGCAATGATGCAACCGCGGTTCATATTCACTTTCTTTAAATATTTACTAATACGCAACAAATTAAGAACTCATTTTGCTTGCCAAGTATGTAGAGGGTATATCTAATAATAATACACCAATCACGTCACGGCAAGGGGTGTGGTGTGATATTTGGAAAGTCTTAAACCACGTGCGTATGCGCACGAACGTAGCTCGTGACGTGACTTGCGGGTCGTAGGCGGGAGCGTCGCGTGACGCCAATGTATTAAAGACAAATAAAACCTTTTGGCTTACTACTTCGTGCTATGGAAGCAGCTATTGTTTATGGGTTTCCTTTTATGTAATACTTATGCTATTTTACTAATTTGTGAGGAAATAAATTGAACGGTATAAAATAATATGGTTATAGCCCATTCATCTTATGCCATTCATTGCGAATGCGTCTGCATTAATGCGCTGGTGATAGTGATGATGATGAAATCGAAATATTAATACATACTCGTATATTTAAAACTCAAATTAGAGAAATTAAGTATACGTTGATACTATTATAATCAAGGTTTTTAATAGGAAACATGAGATTTACGAGTATGATGAAATCCAAAAATTGTTGGGTTGATTTTTATTGATGCCTACGAGTTTTTTTATTTATTTATAACATAAGCGTTTCAATCAGATTTTTAAATGCAATCGATCAATATATATTCAAGCATGTATGACAATCTTATATTTAGTTCTTGAACGCGTCATTTACTGACGATTTCATAAAGATACAAGCATTTTTAAATATTTGAAATAAAGATATATTATGATCTTCAGGTGTAGATGGTATGGAGATTCTGCATCATTAATTATTATTTTTATCAACAAGAAAATGTCTTATGAAATTAACTAAAATAGTGAAATCCTGCGTACATTTATTTGCTTCATATAAATCAGTTCTCAAAACTCTTCTCATTATAAATAACTAAGATATTTAATGGTTTCTAGACAGCAATATTTGTTGTATGTTTTTATTTGCAAAAGATATATATCTTACATAAATTAAGACAGTCATACACTAAGCTTCAGAAGTGGTGCCAATTTATTGAGTGAGAACTGAATTTTTCGTAATTCAGAGCGACATTAAGCACGGTCATCGGCCCTTAGATTTATTTAAACTTCATTGTATTGTCACTGACAAAGTTATATAATGGACCGGGACCGAGTGGAAATTTTCTAGTAATATTTTCTTTAGAATTATAAATCTAGCAGTTAAAATGCTCAAAAGTTATATAAGATAACTTTGACTTGCTAGTAAAGTCTATCAATGGGCATATTCGGAAGCTGTTATAGATGGTGGATCATCATCATCATCAGCCTATTAATGTCTCCACTACTGGGGCACAGGCCTTCTCTATGGATGGAATAGAGAGTTTGGGCCGCGACCCACTACGCGGGCCCAGTGCGGAATGGTGGGTGCTAACGACTGCAGACGCAGCCGGGACCAACGGCTTAACGTGCCTTCCGAAGCACGGAGGAGCTCGAGATAGTAAATTTTTGATCACCCATCGAAAGACCGACCTCTGCGAAAGTTGCTTAACTTCAACGATCGCACCCGAACGCGTTAACCACTTGCGCCATC